GGGGGTTTTCCCTTTTTTTTTTTCCCTTTTTCCCCCTTTTTAATATTTTTTTAAAAGAATTTTTGGGGGTTTTTTTTTTTCCCCCCCTTTTTTAAAATTTTTTAAAATTTTAAAGGGAAAAAAATTTTTTTTTTTTAAAACCCCGATTTTTTTTTTTTTTTAAACCCCCCCCCTTTTTTTTTAAAAACTTTTTAAAATTTGTTTTAATTTTTTTTTTATTTAAACCCAACCCCCTTTTCCCCTTTTTAAAAAAAAAAACCCCCCCCTTTTGGGGTTTATGAAAACCCCCCTTTTAATTTAAAAATTTTTTTTTAAAAACCCCCCTTTTTAAATTAAAAAATTTGTTTTTTTTTTTTTTTCCTAAACCGGGTTTTTAATAAACCCCCCCCAACCCCCCCCCGGGTTTTTTTTCCCCAAAATTTTTTTTGGGGGGAAAAAAAAACCCCCCTTTTTTTTTTTTAAAAAAAAAACCCCTTCCCCAAACATTTTTTTTTAAAAAAAAATTTTTTTTAAAAAAAAATTTTAAGGGGTTTAAATTTTTCCCCCTTTTTTTTTTTAAAAAAGGGTAAAAAAACCCCCCCCCCTTTTTTTTCCCCTTTTTTTTAAAAAGGCCCCTTTTGGGGGGGAAAAAAAAAAAACCCAAAACCCTTTTATTTTTTTTTTGGGGGGGAAATTTTTTTTTAATTTTTTTTCGGGGGGAAATCCCAAAAAAAACCCCCCCCGGGGGGTTTTTTTTTTTTTCCCCCCTTTAACCCAAAAAAAAAAACCCCAATTTTCCCTTTTAACTCAAAATAAAAACCCCCCCCTTTTTTTCCCTTTTTTTAAAAACCCTAAAACCCTTTTTAAATTTTTTAAACCCCCCCCCCTTTTTTGGGGTTTTTTTACCCCCTTTTGGGGGATTTTAAAAAATTTTTTTAATTTTTTTTTGGGAAAAGGGGGGGTTTTTTTTTCCCCCCCCTTTTTTTAAAGGGGGTTTTTTAAATAACTTTTTTTTTTTTAACCAAAAAAAAAACCCCCCCCCAACTCCCCCCCCCGGGAAAATTAAAATCCGCCCCCCTTTTTTTTGGGTTTGGAAAAATACCCCCCTTTTAAAAGGGGGGAAAAAAAAAATTTTTTTTTAAAAATTTTAAATTTTTTTGGGGTTTTGGGGGGGGGTTTTTGGGGGGGGGAAATTTGGGGGGTTTGGGGAAGGGGAAATTGTTTTTTTTCCCCTTTTTTAAAATTTTTTTTTCCCCCTTTTTAAATTTTTTTTTTTAAACATTTTCCGGGGCCTTTTGGTTTTTTTGGGTTTTTTTTTTAAAAAAAAATTTTTTAAAAATTTTGGGCCCCAAAACCCCCCTTCCCCCCAAAAAAGGGGTTTTTTTAAAGGGAAAAAAAAAAAAATTTTTTTCCCCCCTTTTTTTTTTTTTTAAAAAAAAAATTTTTTCCCCGGGGGGTTTTTGGGGTTTTTTCCCTTTTTTCCCGGGATTTTTTCCCCTAACTCGGGCCCAAAAATTTTTTTTTTTTTTTGGGGGTTTTTTAATTTTTTTTTTCCCAAAAAAAAAATTTTTTTCTTTGGGAAAGGGTTTTTTTTTTTGGGCCCTTTTCCCCCCCCAATTTTTGGGGGGGGAAAATTTCCCCCCTTTTTTTTTTTTTCCCCCCAAATCTTTGGGTTTTCCCCCCCGGGGGGAAGGGGGGTTTTGGGGTTTTTGGGGGAAATTTTTTGGGGGGAACCCCCTTTTTAGGCCCCCCTTTTTTTTTTTCCCTTTTCCCTTTTTTTTTTTTTAAAAAAAAAAAAAAGGGTTTTTTTCCCCCCCGGGGGGGCCCCCTTTTTAAAAAATTTTTTCCCCAAAAGGGGCCCAAAAAAAGGGGTTTCCCCTTTCCCCCGGGGGGGGGGGGGGCCTTTTTTTAAAATTTTTCCTCGGGGAAATTTTTTCCCCAAAAATTTTTTTTGGAAAACCCAAAAAAAAATTTTTTTGGGGGGGGGGGCCCCCTTGGGGGAAAATTTAAAATTTTTTTAAAAAAATTTTTTTTTTTAAAAAAAAAAAAGGGGCCCCCCCTTTGGGGGGTTTTAATTTTTTTTGGGGGGGGGGGGGGGCCCCCCAAGGGGGGGCCCCCGGGTTTTTTTTAAAAATTTTTTTCCCCCCCAAAAAACTTTCCCCCCCTTTTTCCCTTTGGGTTCCCCCCCCTTTTGGGGGTTTTCCACTAAAAATTTTTAAAAAAAAGGGGGGCCCAAAATTTTTTTTTTGGAATTTAAATTTAAAAAATTTTTTTTCCCCCCATTTTTTTTTCCCCCCCCAAAAAATTTTTTTTTCCCCAAGGGTTTTTAAAAAAATTTTTTTAAAAATTTTCCAAAAACCCAGAACTTCCTTGTAAGAATTTTTCCCACACTCAGGACAGGAAATACGGCTTCTACCCCTGTGTTTTTTTGTGATTCTGAGTGTGTGCATATATTGGCCTTTATTGTAAAAACATTTCCCGCACTCAGGACAGGAATACGGCTTCTCCCCTTTGTGTGAGAGATCTCTGATGTGTGTAAAGACTGGACTTCACTGAAAAAACATTTCCCGCACTCAGGACAGGAATATGGCTTCTCCCCTGTGTGAGATCTCTGATGTCTGTAAAGATTGGACTTTAGTAAAAAACATTTCCAGCACTCAGAACAGGAATACGGTTCTCCCCCTGTGTGGGATCTCTGATGTTTACACAGATGGGTCTTCGTTGAAAAACATTTCCGCACTCGGGACAGGAATACGGCTTCTCCCCTGTGTGAGATCTCTGATGTCTGTAAAGATTGGACCTTCCCTGAAAAACATTTCCCGCACTCAGGACAGGAATACGGCTTCTCCTCCATGTGAGATATTTTATGCACATTAACATGGGATTTAGAACTGAAACATTTCCCGCACTCTGAACAGGAATATGGCTTCTCCCCCGTGTGAGATCTTTTATGCACGTTAAGATGGTATGTAGAATGGAAACATTTCCCGCACTCAGTACAGGAGAACCTCTTCCCTGTTGGAAGGCCGGCCCGGTCCCGCACAGTCTGAGGTCCTCAGGATACGAGGAATCCGATGGTCCATCTACACTGGGTGGTGCCGGATGGGACATTGGAGGGAGCGGGTTTTCTCCTGGACTATACTGTGTGATGTCCTCATCTTCTACTTTCCAGTCTGGAGACAAAGTGAGACAATCTCGGAGGTTTTCCTCATCTCCCGGCCATGGACTAAAATACAAAGACAAAGAGGTTTACTAGACAGGAGCTGATTGGTTCCCCAAAACCAGGACTCCGCCCCATCAGGCAGCTTGGTCTGTGAGGAGCTTACAATTCCACCCTCAAGGGAACTAGGAAATGGCTCCTCTGATCTCCTACCAGGTCATTTCTTTATTCATGGACCTTAGTCAGAGAGTGAGGAAACAACCAGAACTGTCTTTTATAGGAGGGACAGTGATGAGGGGATTATAGGACGAGGGTCCCCACCCCCTCTATCACTCATCGCCATCTTCCCAACACAAGAAGTACTGCACCTCCTGATTTAGTCCATGATTTAGTCATGAAGAACAGCGGGGCTGAGCCCCACCAGAGGTCAGAGAGTGAGGATGGGGGGAGAAACAACCAAGATGAAGACTGGACTGATCCTGAAGACCACCATCATTGGGGTATTGACTCCTCCCTCATTATCACTTTCTGTTTAAGGGTCCAAAGTTGGAGGATGTTATCACATTATTATCACCATGTAACAGTCTGTGCTCCAATCACATCATCCGATATAAAATGTCCAGCTGGGAGAAAATGGGGGGAACAAAAGAGACTCCATATTATGTATATATATAGCAGTGGGGGGAGAGAAGAGGTCAGGAGTATGTAATGTACAACAGAGTATATAGTGCAGGGGTCAGGAGTATGTAATGTACAACATAGAGTATATAGTGCAGGGGTCAGGAGTATGTAATGTACAACATAGAGTATATAGTGCAGGGGTCAGGAGTATGTAATGTACAACATAGTAGTATATAGTGCAGGGGTCAGGAGTATGTAATGTACAACATAGAGTATATAGTGCAGGGGTCAGGAGTATGTAATGTACAACATAGAGTATATAGTGCAGGGGTCAGGAGTATGTAATGTATATAGCGCAGGGGTCAGAAGTATATAATGTACAACATAGAGTATATAGTGCAGGGGTCAGGAGTATGTAATGTACAATATAAATTATACAGTGTAAGGGTCAGGGTCATAATATTGATATTAAGTAATCAGTGGAACATTAAATGTTTACTGTAGACAAGTTGCAGAGATCCCACACCGCTGCCTCCCATCTCCTGAGACTGCACTCAGTGACTTGGGTTGAGACACTACAGACATATCCCTCCACCCGGCACAGCCAGCAGACCACAGAGCAAGGAACCCTGGGAGAATTGTACTGTCAGAGATCTTACTAGACCCGGGAATGGGGAAGAAGACTCAAAGCACACACCCCAGGTGCCTAGGTTAATGCTAATGGTGAAAACTTAACATTTTGCAGCCAGCTGAACCCCAGAATCTCCAAAAACCCAGTCTAGATATTTAAATTGTGTCTTACAGACTGATATTGCCAAGTGTTGACTCTACTCTGGACCAATCAGTGAGCAGTATGGGTGGAGGAATGGATTTAGTGTTCATGACCCACCTGTGCTGATCTCTGTAGGAGTGTCCTCCTCTATAAATGTCCCCGTTATTCCATCCTCCTCCATAGACTGCTGATCATCCCTCACATACGCCTCTTCTTCTTCTGCTTTCACCTCAAAATTCTATATCGATTGGATCTCCACTCTAAATCAAGGAAATGAGAGAAAATATCATCTGTAAAAATGTAAGATTTATGATTGTGACATCACACACAAAATCCACACACATTGTCTCCCTTCACAGAAGCAGATCACATGTGAATAATCTAACCACTTGGCCTACCACCAAATTAGAGCTATTCTTATTGGTTGGTATTTAATCGCCACTGGGCGCTTTAAACATTTTTGCGCAAATAAATTAAAACAAAAGTGCAAAAAAATTTGAACAAAAAAAAAAAGTTATTTTGTTCCTTTTATTAAAAATTTTTCAAACAGGAAAGTTTTCTGTACTCCTTACACTGGAATTGTGCGTTGATGAGGGGCCCCCCCCCCCCCCCCCCCCCCCCCCCCCCGGCGACACTGATGGGCACTGCGATAGGCCGGCCACTGATAGGCAGCACCTTAAAGAGCACTGACAAGCAGTACTAATGAGAGGTAGCCCTGGATAGGCGGCACTGATAGACATGCACTAAGAATTAGGGGTCCACGTGGGGATAGGCTGGCCGGCACTGATATGCAGCACTGATAGGCGGCACTGACTAGGTGACACTGAGAGATGGGTACGTGAACAGACGGGCACTGACTGGCATCACTGTGGGCACTGAACTGGCGGCACTGACTCGGGCACTAAACCCCTGGGCAACCTGACAGGTGGCACTGACTGGCAGCACATGGTGGGTGGCACTGGTGGACAGCACTGGTGGGTGGGCACAGTGGGTGGTTGGCAACGTGGTGGTGCAACAGGTGGGTGGCCCAGGTGGTGGGGCACAGGTGGGGTGGCACAATGCTGGCTCCATGTAGTGTGGCACTTCTGGGCACAGCGTAGGTGGCAACTTGCTGAGTGGGGCGACAGGGTTGGGGGGCACTGCTGGGCACATGGTGGGCGGCACTGCTGTGGCCAACAGGTGGGGTGCACTGACTGGGAATGGGTGGGCGGGGCGTAGTGGGGCGCACTGCTGATCGGAAACTTTGCGGGGGTCACTGCTGGGCAACGATCATCAGGGCACTGGATCATCAGTGCCCTGAGATCTGGTGCCCGATCCCCGCTCTGGACAAAACTGCCGGTTCTCTCGGCAGTTCTTTCCTCACGATCTGACAGCTGTGAGGAAAGTGCAGCCGGAGAACCGGCACTTGCATTTTTCCTGTGATCAGCGTTGTCATTGGACACCGCGGATCACGTGAGTAAAAGGCCGGTGGGATCGGCCTTTCACCACATCACGTGATCAGCTGTGTTCCGTCAATAGGACACAGCGATCACGGGAGATCGCCGGGTGCGCGCCCCTGGGGCGGCGCAGGAGAGCGCGTTTGGGAGGACGTCATATGAGGTTCCACTCGAACTGGCCGGCCGCGGTTGGGAAACCGTCTTTCGGCTATGCCCCGGTCGGGAAGTGGTTAAAAAATGTTTAGGGTCCCCCCCTGGGGGTTTGGGATGGATTTTGAGGGGGCTCCTTTCCAAAATGAAAAAAACATACCAACCCCTACTGAGAGAAGCTGCGGGCAGGTCAGGGAAAAGGGGATGAGCAACGACCCCCCTCCTGAAACATCCGGCACGTGCCCTTAACATGGGTGGATGCCTGGGGCAGGGGGGCTTTGCCCCCATAGCACCTTGTCCAGTTGATGGGGAAAGGGAGTCTTTCCCCCCAACCCCGGCTAGGGCTGGGGGGGTTTTTCAGGCAGAGGACTTACAAAAAGTTTCAGGGGGCCCCAGTCCCTCACCCCATGGGGAAGAGTATGGGGGGACATGGCCCCCCAATTATTCACCCCAAAAAAGTATTCGTTAAATACAGCAGGCGTTTTTTTACAAGTCCTTTATTAAAAAAACAAAACTAAAGCAAAAAGTCCCCCCCGGGGTT